AAAGCCCCATTACCAGAGGATTATGCTCATAGGCCCATAAATGAATTTTAGAGATATAACTAAGTTCATTTCAGCAACAAACATTTACTAGGCACCTGTGTTCCAAGCACTTGCACGTGCATTTTATTATTTTACCTTCACAACTACCTTTGAATAGGCAGGACAGGGATTATACCGAAGTTTTATGATAGGAGTATTGGACCAGAGGGACTGAGTAACTTGCCAGAAGTCCCAGAGTTTGTGGTGGAGCTGGAATTTCGACCCAGGTTTCATTTACTCTCTTTCAAACTATTTGCAGTGAAGGAGAAAACAGTGTACTGAGCACTCTTAAAATCTAAAGGAATGCTGGGTGTGGTGGCTTACGACTGTAATCCTAGCATTTTGGGAGGCCAAGGCTGGAGAATCCCTTGAGGCCAGGAGTTTGAGACCAGCCTGAGCAAGAGCAAGACCTTGTCTCTACAAAAAATATTAATAGAAAAATTAGCCAGGCATGGTGACACGTGCCTATAGTCCCAGCTACTTGGGAAGCTGAGGCAGGAGGATTGTTTGAGCCCAAGACTTTGAGGTTACAGTGAGCTATAATGACTCCACTGCACTCCAGCTCAGGTGATAGAGTGAGACCTTACTTAAAAAAAAAAAAAAAAAAAACTGAAGGAGTCAAACTAATCACAACTGGGCATGTTAAAATCTTAGGCTAGGAAACCTGCATGGTGACCTTTGCAATTGTCACTTTCTCTAATTTTTAGAAGATCTGAAGGATCCACGCTGAGCTCCAGGGAGAAACTGAATGGAGACTAGTAGATTTCTGAAAGTCCTTCTGACTTTCTTCCCTTGTCTCAGCCGGCCTGTGTTTCCTCCCACGTCCCCACCTCCCAGCAATGTCAGTAGCTTCAGTTGCTTCTATGCTCTGCTGAGACTGTCCATACTGACTTGGTGGTAATTTCTGGGAAGCGGGTAATTTCTGAGATGACCCGAGATGTCCTTCCCTCGGGGACTTTATGAATTGGGTGAAAAGGCTGGCTCTGAGGAGGGGCCAGGGAGTACCCTGTGTAAAGGCAGGGGATTAGACCGGATGGTGTTGGAGGTTGTGGCCTCTTGTTTTTAAGCTGCTGAATGGTTCTAGGCAATCAGTAACCCTACGCAAACCGGTAGATCTGTAGCCACAAGAGGGAGCTCTCCCCCTACTGAACGAAAGTGTAACTAAGATGAAAGGCTGTAGTGATCATGTGTCCCCATGAGTGGATAGTTAAGACCTGTATTGAGCGAGGAAAGGCTGTATTGATCACATGCCCCCACATAGAGATACTTAAGACTTGTGTTGAGCAAGGACGCAAAACCAGGGTCGATGCTCATCTTCCATTTGCTAAGGTTAGAGTTTGGGCAGCAGGTTCACTTAAACATTTATCTCTTCCCCTTACAAATTTCAAAGAAAGTGAGAAACAAGGTTTGGGAGTCTGATAGAGATAAAAACAATAAAATAAAGCTTACCAGAGAAAGAGCCCTAGATATGTTGCCAAATGGGTTTGTTAGTACTTCCCTACCAAACTATCCCATTCAAGTCCCGGGAAGACCTGGACAATCACAGGCTTCTCGACCAGGGCAGACCACACATGGCAGAAAAGACGCACGTGTCCCAAAGACAGGCTGCTCAGAAAGGAGGGGTCCCAGGAGCAGCTAAGAGCCACATGACAATTTCCTTCTTCCTCTCAGGACTTTTCGATAAATAACTCTTCACCCCAACTTCTGCTGGGGAGGAAGGGTGAGGAGGAAGAGGCAGAGAATGTTCTTCCCTGTGTTTCCCTCCTGGGAGGTGGATGTTCCCTTTCTTCACTGAATGGATGCAGTGGGGTATCAGTGTTCCCTTCCCCATATTTTTTCTCTTAACATGTTAGACTTGACATTTGATCTTTATGATCAGTAGGGTATGACTGTTGTCCTCAGTGAGTTTTGATCCTGGTCCCACCTTGTGAAGCTTTTTTCTAGATACCAGACACTGTTTCTCAGCATGTTGTCTGGGGACTGTTTGCTGGGGGGCTGTTTAGCTTTTGCTCCTAGGTCACCTAGTTCCTACTAAGACTGAGGGGTAAAACCTACTTAGGGGAACATGGGTAACAGGATAATAACTCTCAGCCAGGCCTGAGTTAGATGTTGGTCTTGAAGCTATCCAGAAGGATTATTGAATTGCAGAGAGGTAAAGGTGGACAAGATTCCTCTAAACAAACAAGGAACACTTTTGGTAGATCCAAACCTTGTTAAATTTGAAGAATCTAGTAAGATAACTAACCCCTTGTTCACCAGGGCCTATGTCTGTATAAAAAAATGTCCCGCACTTGTAGACAAGGCCACAGTAGGTGCTGTGACTGGCTAAGTTTTTTAAAAAAGTGTTCTTGGGTAGGGGTATAACCTAAACTATCCATGTAGGCTGAGCCAGAAGCTCCTCTTTTTCCATATTGCCAAAAGGCTATGCCTGGTGATTATACCATAGCTTTGGGGTTTATCAGACCTACTAAATCACCTCTTTCTCTCCTCTTGAATCCGATCCAATTGAGATAGTGTAAGAAGCAAGAATCACACAGAGATCAAATACCAGCTGATTAAAGAAGGTGGCTTTAAGCCACGATAAAACAAACTTGCACCCAAATCCCTCTGTCACTCCTGCCATAAAACTGTCCTACCCGGCTGAGCTGAGAACCTCCCCAGCAAGAAGAGGATGCTTACCTCCTCACCTAGGTAGAAGAACACT